TTCTGGTACTCGGAGATAATTTCTCTGCTACTTAATGATTCAGACTTAGATTGCTGCTGGTATTATTTAAGTATTGTCAGCAGAAGTAAATATCAATATTTCTAAACTTTTTCTACTAAAGTTTCAAAAAAAGACGTTGCGTATGAAAAACTTTCTAAGTGTAACAGTAGGAAAAGGCAGACTTAAAAGCAAATTTATATTGAAACCTGTAACTACGCCATAGAACAGTTTGGTTTTTTTTTTAATTAACATGAAGTTTGCTCAGATTCTTCATCACTTGTTGACTGAAAGGACAGTTTTTTAATTTCATTCTTTCCTCAAGGGAAGGTTCTTCTGAAAGCTCCTACTTGCATCCCTATGCCTTTAGGATGCTGCAAGTATATACAGTTTTCAGATGACACTTACTGTACTCGTAAATATTATAGCACTAGGACTTTAAGTCACATTGGGGAGGATTTTAAAATTGTGACCAAGGAATTCTTAATGTTCCTCTTGGGAACATCAGAAATTTTGATTTTTCACTTTTGAATTGGCACTAGACATGCCAACTCGCCCAAAGAATGCAGAATGGGTTTTCTAACAAGAAAATCAATCCATCAAATGTATATTGACACCATAATCTGTTTACTCTTGGGATACCGGTATGTGCAGTTTTCTAGTGTTCTGGTAATAAAAAAATGTATAATGTGTTTTGTTTCATGCAGAATGTATAAACAAAGCAAGAAAATATCTGAAGTTGAACAGTTCTCACCTAACTTTCAATATTGTGCTTTGGTGATTGATTGATGCCACCCACATAAATATATACTGAGTTGTTTTCAGTTATAACCATGATGATGATACTGAATGTACCTCAGTTACAAACAGCTACATTTAAATTGTAAAATGAGAATTATAGGTTGATACACATACAGCATCCTTCAAAGGATTAAAACAATCACGAATACAATCTTTTTGTCCAATAAAGAACTGTACTGTGCAATTATTGATGCTTTTCAGTTATGGTTAGCAAGAAAGAATGGGGAGATTGGAAATCAGTGGTTAAAAATTGTAATCAGTCAATGAGCAGCTGATAAGGAGAAGCACATTTGGTTAATGGTTTTACAAGTCTTTAAATAAAGAGAACTTTGTAATCCTCTGTCCCTAGTCAATGCTGGACTGTCAAGTCATTGCAATAGTGTAATTTGTGAGTATGTTTGTTTGAATTTAAGCTACCACAAGTATTGAATTCTGTTGAAATTAACCAGTCTCTCTTTTATGCTATTAAATAGATATTGAAATGCTAGTCGAGATACTTTGATTTTTTTCTCATGTTGAAAACTTCAGTTTTCAAGTTGTTTGTAGTGATTCAGTTTCAGTAAGTTATCTGGTGATCATACACATCTTACTGTCATCTTTTTTTTTTTTCCTCTCTACTTTTCCCCCCTCTTCTCCGTGTAGTATTGGGCAGTTTGAATCTTTATATTGATTGTGGTGATGTAGTGGAGGCTATTTTGCCTTCTGTTTCAACAGTAACATAAGTACATTTTGTTTTTCTAAATCTATTTCACTTGAGGAGAAAAATGCAAAACGGACATTAACAAGATAAGTATTTAATTTGGCTATTGTATGAATCCAGTCTGCCTTGCTAGAATATATAAAGGATGGTGTTTAATATTTTTTTTACTAAAAAATTGTTTGCTGCTTTGCACTACATATGGTTGTTACTTTTTTCCCCTTTGTCTGGAATTTTAAGAGAACTAAACATTTTAATCTTTCTATTTTGAAAATTTTGTATTTAAAAGCTGAATTTATTCATTCAACTTCTCTTAAATTAGGAAGAAAAAATAGGCAACTACCTACATTTGTGACTAACCATTAAATGAGCTAAATTATCAAATGGTAAACGTTTATACAAGGTCACTAGAGTAATCAAACACAATCTCTTCCTGTTCTTACAGTTTTATCTTTTTCCCTTTCAAATGAGGTCAGAAGAGTTTTAAAATTTTGGAGTTCTTATCCCTTGCCAGTCTTCCTCATTTGAAGAAAAATGCTTGAACCTTAAATGGAGCACTCTTTCCCCCTTTTAATGCCACATTCAATGCATTAATTCATCAGTAGAAGAGGCTGGTAAGAGTGGAGTGTCCTAGCTCAAGCAATTGCAGTGTTGCATGCAGAATTGCAAAATGAACTGTCTTAATTATATTTTGTAAATGGAGAAACAATCATATCTTTCTACGCAGTGATGGAAGAAATTAGTGCTTTGTGCATTTTGATATTTGACTTCCTCTTTTCACCAGTGTAACTACTTTGACATAGTTGTGTTTATCATTATCATGGTTCATAGACATCAGAATGCTAAACAATATTGTATTTTTAAGTTTGTGTTGTAAGAACGAATGGAATAAACTTGAATTGTATGACAGAAATCTGCAACTTTATTTTTCCTTTGCACCATTTTTGCCCACTACTTTGAATTTAAATTCTGCACTGACCAGCACTGTGCACGGTAACTTTAGCTGTGTTGATACAAATTATTTGGACGAATCTGAGAACCTGTTAGGACACTTGAGAGTGTTCATTAGTCTTCATCCCCCGCTGATTTAGAACACAAACTTGGTCTTCCCCAAAAATACCTGGGACTGATGAGCATGGGGTTATCCCACGCAGCCTTACAATAGTTTACGGACAGTTCATGTTGGGATTTGCTTTGTTTAAAGGAAAGCTTATGTTTGGCATTGATTTGAACTCTTATTTACTTGAAAGTCAAATAAACCAAATAACATTATGATAGCTCAAACACTTGGAGATTAAAAAGGGTTCTTCAATAAATATGGAACAAAAGGTTGAGATAGAAACGAAGTGCAAAATTTGAACTTCTAGGTTTCATTTAATGTCCATATTCTCATCTTATTATATTTACTCAAATATCTAAGATTATCCTGAATTCAAGACCCCCCCTCCCCCCACCCCCCCCCGTAACTGGATTTTCTATATGGAAAATTTATCAATGTTATAATTTTCCAAGTATAGAATCATAGAAAATGAGGGTTGGAAGGGACCTCCTCTTCCTTTCCCTTCCCACGCATCCACTGCTACAGCAGTGGGTTGTGTGTTTTAAGTGATTAAAATGATTTCTGAGACAGAGTGGAGGCATGGGAAACTGGAATGGCTGCCAAGGGCTGGTTCCCTCCTGGCTGCATGGAAGAGGGGCAGAGTCTTCTGCTTAGCCCAAAGCTAGAGGTTTAAGTCTGTTGCAGCCACTGCTGAATTGGAAGCAGCTTTTAGCTGTGCAGGAAGGGGAGGGCAAGTGATGCTGACAAGTAGTCTGTCCTTATTCCATGTAGCCAGAATTTAGTATGACTAGTAAAAACTTTTTTTTTCCCCTCAATTCTACCTTCCCAAAATAAAATGTGCATCTTATTCGGAGGTGTTTCATATGCAAGAAAATTCAGTATTACACTCCCCTGAGTGAAGATGGAAATGCATGGTGCTGTGAGTTTGCTGCCCCAAAATCAATTTACTGTAGGTCTGTTTTATAGGAGTCACTTAATTTGTTTTCTGGGGGGAGAAGGTAAGTGGGGGGAGGATGCTTCTCTTGATTTCTTGCCTTGGTTGTCCTTCAAGTAACATAGTTCATTCCTTTCTGATCTCTGTTCTCCAGATCATTTGGATGAAGAGCTAACTTACGTAAGGAATACTTGTATGCAGGTTGCATATACTTCTATGTATATGTTGATTTTCTGTATCTCTAGTGGGGAAAAAAATGATAACAATCAATTTTAATAGTTAACAGTTTCTGTAGAAACAGATGTTCTAGGACTCATTATGATAGTTCTGCCTAAAATTCAGTTGGGCTTTTTAAGATGCATGTATTTTAAATAACATGGCACAGAAAAACATTATAGTGAATTAGGATGATACTTGTATACAAATTTTTTAAAAGGGACAAATTATCCCCAAAGGAGAAGTTTCACTTAGTTTAGTATCTCTCTTTTACAGTTTTCAGTTTTGAAAACACAAACTTACCTGCTAATGGTATGTGCACAGTTTGTCACTTGAATAGTGATAAATAGATGGGGGACATAGTCAAAATGCACTGTTACCTTCTGAAATGACTTGGAAGCTGCCACTGCTGGTGACAAGGCCAAAGATACATGGGTATGTATTCAGACATTTGGTATTGAGGTATCTTTGTGAGAGAATTTGCAGCTGCTTAGCCCATGTCAGCCTGTCTGCACCTGGATAAGGAAGCTGAAATGTACCAAGAACACACCTCAAGAAGATAACATATAAATGTAATGCCTTAAAAGAACACCCTGAAGGTTATTCAATGACATCAACCCAAGCTAAATTCATACTTGGTGCTGAAGCACTGAAGGTACAGTATCATGCTACATCTAAGAAATACAGCCACTCTTAGGGATGGCAGCAGTCCAGCAATTAAGGGAGGGGAGAGCACAAGAACTTCCACGTAAGTAGACAATCCAGGTAAGGCAATATACGTATTATGCATGTTTCTGTTCCTAACTGCACTTCTAATCATCCTAATGGAAAGACTACAGCTTTTAAACATTAGCTTGCTGAAAAATGAGTACTCAAAACACTGAAAATTATGCCCGCAAAACTAACTTTTTATTTTAATCTTTTATTCAGCCAGCCAGCCATTTGGTATTAGGATAATTGTCTGGTATGTGGGGGAAAGGGTAATTTAATTAATACTAATTAGGCTATTTAGTGCGTCACATAACACATCTAATTTAGCTATAATGGTGCTAAACATCTACAGGTAATTCACTTGTAGTATGCATATGTAAATCAACATAACCATTTATAAAGGAGCAAATAACTAATTTTAATAGCTAACTTTACCTTGAACTTGGATTAAAGCAAGTGGCTTTTGTTGCTCATTTAGATTTAAGAAGGTAGCTTCCTGTTCCCTAGACTGCCTGTATATCCAAGTTCTGAATTTCACATTTTGAGTTGTCATCTCCTTGAGATATATCAGAAGTTATGAATTCAGTCTTGCATCTGAAATTATGACATCTGATAAAAGCATGGTGATACTTAAACTGGCTGGGCTTCTAGTAGGGAAATACTTACAGATGCTGATAATTTTGCTTTGTAGAAAACCTCTGAATTATAGATCGGAGGTGATTGATCACTGATGTTACATCTTGTGTTTCATTGCAGCTTTCTGGATTTTAGTATTGGACTTGTGTATCTGTCCTTGGAAGTTTGCCTCTTCTTTTGTACTACAACCATTAAGGTTCTCCTCAGAAGTTCTGAAGTTTTAAGCAAAACCACCTTATGCTTCTTTCTCTTACTTTTTAAAATTATGTAGTGAACAAATTGTGCTGCAGGCGTGGTAATTGTTAAGGTGCACTTGCCTGTCATCTGCTTATACTAAAGCAAGCCATATTGCTAATTTACAGCTTCAAAATAAGGACCAGTACCCCAAAGTAGGAAAGCCAAGCCATTTTAACAAACTATGTAATCTAAGGTACCATTACATCTGGGTTTATGAGGATAATATTAAACCTTCCTTATCCCATCATTTGCTGTTGACAGCTCATAGCAACTTTAATTATTATACAAATGGCAGTAGTCTTTTCGCAGACATGTGGATTAAGTGGAGCACAAAATATTTAAATCATGCTATTAGCAATGATGTAAGACAGGCCAGAGACTGTCCACCTGAAGACTGCAGAAAAACCATTTGTTTATATAACAGCTACCTATAAAAATATTTTGTACAGTATTAGTATTGTTATCACTGAATAAATAAGCACATCAAAAGTAGAGTTTTCAAACTACATGAGTAAATTAGGGGGAGGTAGGGATGGACTCATCAATGTCCAATAACTCAGAAAAGGCAAAAAAGTTAAGACGACAAGGTAGAGAGAAACCTCAAGTAGATTGGCATTTAAAAAGGGAATGAATCTTTAAAGAATTAAACATTTAATTCAGTAAATCTACTTACCAATATTTAAATTCTTTTAAAGAGTTATTTGGTGTTCCCACAAGCTCATCTTCCCTAGAGAAGAGCATGTATTATGTTTAAGTTGTGAAGGACAGTGTTAGCTAGTTGGCACAATGTAGGGATTAGGGGGAATTGTATGCAGTACTTTATCTGTTCTCACATTGAGAGAGGTAGTTAGTTGTGTTACTATAAAGCTAGGGAAAAGACAGAGCAGGGTGGCACCTTCTAGATATTAGTGATCACACTGCTGACTATAGTTCCCCTGGGTTGATGATGACCAGGTCAGTCAGGCAGCAATTCGGTTTTTCACTATTATTTTTGAACATGGTAACAGTCCACTCAAAGTTACCTCTGACAACTTTAAAGGAAGCAGTATTAGGATTTAGTTGCTTGATCAGGCTTGAGTTTTCCAAGCTTAATTGCAGCAAGAACTGCTGAAGAAAGCAACTTGAGGTCCCTGCTTTACCACAGTTTATGGAATACATTTTTGGTTACTCTTGGGGGGGGGATGAAAAAAGTTGAAAATTAAAGATGAAAAAGAAAGATGTAGCCTATAGACAAACTCAGATGTACAGAAAATGTACCTTCTTTTAAGGTCTGAGCTATCACAGTTTTGAAGAAGTTAATTAAAATATAAATATGTAATATTAAACAAAAACAGTAATAATTAGTTGCGTCTCAGACTGCTAAATAGATGGAGGTGTAGTTAGCCATGCTAGTCTGAAGTCGGTTAGAAAGCAGGGTAGATATGCACCTTTATAGACTACCAGTTACTAAGTAAGGTATATGAGAGAGTACACGCTTTCATGAACCCAAGTTCACTTCATCGGATGCTGTGAAAGGATGGTATAAAACAGAGTATAAAGTGGAGTAAGTGATTAAATACTATAGGTGGGAAAGCGGGGAGGAGGGGTGCTTTGAGGCATTCAAGCAAAGAATCCATAGGAACAAAGGGGTCACAAAAAGTAATCCAAGTAATGCTATAAGAATCTGTAGTCCTGTTTATACCATACTTAACACAGTCCAGTTTCTGGAAGGCTGACTTGGTATTCTGCCATTCTCTTTTCAAACTTAAAAAAAAAATTCTGCCTAAACAGCAATCCTGAGGTCACTCATTATTGTTCTTAGGCAGTCTAATGAGGAAATGCTCCACTATTGTATGTCTATTGGACTGCCATTTCAATAAACAGTTGTGCTCCAGAATCTGAGACAAGATGGAGAAAATTTAAAACTATAGTTTAGAAGATGGGTTAAAATACTGTACAATCTGATTCTCTCTCTCTCCCCCTTCCCCAAATGATGCAAGTAATGTAGCAGCTGATTACAAGACCCATATGTATGCATGTAATATGGCCACAGTTTTCAAAAATGGCTGGGAAGGACATGGAAAATATATTACCGAAACTGTTTGTATTTTCCCAATCACTTGTACTGTCTACTGGGT